TTTGTGGTAGATTATTATTAATGTAATGACACTGTCCCAACAATGACACCAGATAGAGTTGTGCTGGAGATGCATTTTATAAACATAACCACACCTTTCACTTCTTCTTTACTTTTATCTGCACAAATTAACCTGCTTGTAGACTCATCCAGTAATTAAAGCTGTTATAGTGAATCTACAGTACAAGCTAGGGTTTGAACGCGGCAATCTTGCATTGCTGGACAAAACGTGATGGTGCTAAACGCCAGTCGCTGTTTTCCAGGTCCAAACGTCTGTTACTGTCTGTGACTTCAAATGTTTTTTTTTTCTCTTTGGGTCTCTGGTAGTTTGTCCTAAAGCTGAAGTGGTAGCAGCCATCTGTTTCTCCTTCTCTGATATTACTGAGCGGAGAGCCTCTCACACCAGTGTTCTGTTGCTAAACAAGCAAGTGCGTAATGAATGGAGGATCCAGGTAAATGTGGGAGTGAGGCAATTCAGACTGACATCTGGATGGTCCAGTAGTTGCTTTCAGTCTGAAGCATGTTATTGGAAAAGGTTTTTAGACAAATGCGCGAAAACCATTTCATAATTTTTAAGAGGCATGAAAAAAATGTTTTAAGCTAATTTGTTTTCCAAAGTTGCTGTTGCAACTTTAAATGGATTGGTAGTTGTCATCGCAACAATTAAATAATCATAAATTGAGTTAACCCCAATACTGCAGATATTCTTGGCTTCTCTGCTCATGCTAGCATCGTGCACGTGTGTCCTTGAGTTGGTTAATCTTCACCCCTCCAATCTCGAGTAAGTTCACGTGAACACTTTTTTCTATTTGTACTACTTTGCAAGGATTCAATAACTATCATCACTTGTTTGGGGAAGATTCTGATTTATATAATTTATTTATGTTAAATATTTATATATCTTGGTAGTTATGGTTATTGATTACTTTGGGACTATGTACACAGAGTGTCTCTGGTAAATGTTCTATAGACTCAGGCCAATAAGTCACTTACAATCCCCTTCCTGACACAGGCGTTGCAGAAAAGGCAACATGGAGGTTAAGCTGATTGTACCTTTGACCCTTGAAGGATCAATGGTCATTAGCTTCTTTTTATTGCAAACATTCATTATGCATCAAAGTTTGAGGTTGAATTTCTTTTATACAAGTAACTAAAGAGTCTGGGAGCATTATCTGACCTGTTTCTGCTTCTGTCTGCTTGGGAAGATCATTTGAACGATTTATCATTCTTTTGCGTCACACATCCAGGCTGCTGTGAAAGAGTGCATTCAGCATGTAGCAGAGAGGAGTGCCCACATGACACGCAGTAGTGATGCTGTTGGCAGAATGTGTTAAGACTCAAGTGGATGCTAAAAGTATCTTTCATCCTTTCTAAGATAAGGTTTGGAATGACACTTATCTAAATGGCACTGACTTTTTAAATCATGATCCCAACGAGTACTTCAATGTCCTTCCTTCACCTTCATGATATTTGCAGGTTTCTACTCATAAATCAAGCGATCACGTGGTTTCTTTGACGGAAACTACTTTGTCATGCTGAATCATTCCTTCATGCTGACTTCACATGTCTTAGAAATCCCCTGTTGCAAATGCAACATTTGTTTGGGGGGTGGGGGGGGGGGGGTGATTCTGATGGCTACATAATTCCTGGTGCTACTGTTTGTGAAAGACTGATCTTTGAGCAGCTATTGGACTATTTATCACTGAACTACTTCTTTCCCTCTTCCATTTTATTGCAGTCATTGAACAATAGGGTTGTTTCAAAGTTCAATTCAATTCTGTTTATTTATATAGCGCCAAATCACAACAACAGTCCCCTCAAGGCACGTCACAAAGTAAAACATTCCAACACAGTTCAGTTCATTATGCCAGTTAGGTTTCCTATATAAGGAACCCGGCAGATTGCATCGAGTCACTCACTAGTGTCGGTGTCTTTACAGCCATTCTCATACTAAGCACAGTGATGCAGATGACTGTTCTGTTCTGGTCCTGCTGGACCTGACTACAGCCTTTGACACCATCACCTGCTACTGGATAGGCTGAGACACTGGGTAGGCCTATCAGGATCTGTTCTGGAGTGGTTCTCTTCTTATCTGTCTAAGCAATCCTTTTATGTGTTTGTTTCCATGTTTAGGTCCTCTACCACCTTCCTCACCCACAAGGTTCTGTGCTGGGACCTCTACTGTTCCTCCTCTATCTGCTTCCTCTTCAGCACATCCTGAGCTTCTTTAAAGGAATCTCCTACCATCTTTACGCAGATGACATCCAACTGTATATCTCCTTTAAGTCTAAGCTGCAGCTGTTACACACCTGCTTAGACTCTATTAAAACCTGCATGGCTGGGAACTTACTACAGCTGGATGAAGATAAGACTGAGATCCTCATCTGTGCCCCAGACAAGCTGGTTCCCAAAGTCAAAGACTCTCTTAGTCAGCTTGCTTCTCACACCAAACCCTGTCAGGAATCTTGGTGTGACCTTTGACCCAGCTCTCACCCTGGATTCTCATGTCAGTTTTCTTGTTCGCTCTTCCTTCTTCCATCTCAGGAACGTTGCTAAGCTGAGTCCCATTCTGTCTCGCTCTGAACTTGAGACAGTTATCCACTCCTTCATCTCCTCACGCTTAGACTACTGTAACTCTCTTTTCACGTGTCTGAGCAGAACCTCCCTGAACCGTCTACAGGTGGTTCAGAATGCCTGTGCTCGGCTTCTGACCAAGTCCTCCAAACACACCCACATCACCCCGCTTCTCCTCCAGCTTCACTGGCTGCCAGTCAACTTCAGGGTTCATTTCAAGATCCTGGTTCTAGTCTATAGGGCCTTACATGGACAAGCACCATCTTACATTGGTGATCTTCTAAAGGTTGGTTTATGCTTGACGCGTCCGCGAGGTCCGCACGGCTCCGCGCGGAAAAGTTGCGTCATTTTGCGTCCTTTTAACAACCACGCCCCTCCACCGCATCTCCGCACGGCCCAGAATTTCCGCAACGCGCACCTCGGAAAATTTCTAACCACGCGGATGGACGGACGCGGAAAAACATGGCGGACCGGCAAGAACTAGTATGGCAGAGGTTCGTAAATACAGACATTTGTATGATTCAGCTCTCAAAGATCACCGTGATCAACATATAGTTAATAATTCTTGGAGAGAAATAGCTCGCACTGTCGGAAAAGACAAGAACGCTGTTAAAAATGCTGAAATGCCGTGTTGTAAACAGTAATCTCTTCTTCTGCTATGGTTTAGTGTTGGGTGCATGCCGTAGAGCTCCATGCTGCCCCGTTCAGTTTGGGAGAATATTGGCTCACCGCAGAGACAAGCCGCATGAACCATAAAAGCTGCGTGTTGTGAAGCGCGTTCCATCCGCGAGCCACATCACCGCGCGGAAAGTGAATGCGTCAAGCATAAAGCAAGCTTTAGTCCCTACACCCCCAGCAGGTCCCTAAGGTCCAGTGATCAATGCCTACTGGTTGTGCAGCACCAGGCTAAAGACCAAAGGTGACAGATCATTTGCTGCTGTGGCCCCCAGACTCTGGAACTCTCTCCCCCTGAGCCTGAGATCAGTGGACTCAGTGGTCTCCTTTAAAAAGCAGCTGAAGACTCACTTGTTCAAGCTGGCTTTTGCGTGACCTTCCTTCCCATTCAGCTGCTTTTCTCATATGACATAACTGCTTGCTACTAGGCAATTGAAAACAATTATTTTGATAATCTACTAGTGAATAACTATTTTGCCAGTGAGTCAACTAGTTGGGCCATGTTTAAATTGTAGCTTATTGCACTGATGTGCTACTGCTCTACCATCAGGAGTCAGGACATCTGCTTGCTGAGGTGTTTCTGTGTTTGCCTTGGTACCACTCATTATTGAAGAGTAATGTTTTTTAAATATTGTAACACAGTGTCATAAAATAAAACATTAGAATTTGTTATGTTACATCAAACACATGACGTGTGCTTACTGTCTATGTTAATGTCAGCAGCTAAATTAGTTGTCGCTCTATCTCGTCAACAGCAACAACGTGCTTTCTTTTAAGATGATCTTGCATCAGTGTTTTGCTGCCATGAAAGGCAAGTTCTACCTTGCAGAGTTTGCATTGCGCATGCTTTTCCTAAATTTGAATAAAAATACTCCCAAACTTTCCAGCTTCAACCCAAACTTGCCATGGAACTTTTGTTTGGGTTTTTCCAGTGACACCATGGATGACACCGTATGCCACTAAAATAAATAATAATAAAATGTGTGTTTGATTTAGTAGTGTGATGAGTAACTGTGATTTGTGTACTTAAATCTTCCAGTGCCAAATGACTGCACTGTGATTGTTTAGTGTGAGATAACACAGCTAAGTCCTTCTCAAATGAGTACTTGTCTATTATTTTATTTAAGTTTCAAACAAATCATTACAATTACTTTACATACCATAGATATTGTATATAACCATGTTTTAGTAGTTAGCAGATTCTGTAGTTTAAATGTTTATGTAGAGATCTGTAGTTCTGACATTTCTTGTTTTATGAGCACTTACACAACACACCGGATACAAAATCATATCAGAGGTGTTTTACGTTTAGAGCCACTTATGGTCATCAACCCTTTTATTAACAATGTCATGGTTTAAAAATCTCCATTCAAAATGCTGACTTTAGTAATATCGCTCTTCTTTTCAAGTTTTCTCTCCATGTCTAGTATCTTTGGGAACTACATCTTCTCTCTGGCAGTAGCTTCCTGCTGGCTAAGGCATGAACTACAATGTAATACTATGTGCTGATAAGAGTCTTAAACCATCCCTACTGGGAGAATGAAAATCATTCTTAGAGGCCTCAAGCTTTTGTCTACTCAGAGTATGGCTGGTTCAAATTCAAATTTATAAGGTCCTTTTTATCTGTCTCCATAATAATGAAGTATGACACGTACAGCTAAAAGGAGACCTAAACACTCACTCATAGCTGCCGTGTCATTATGTTTAATTGCTCACAAATGCTTGAGTAACTGTTTGTGTGTCTGTGAACAGGACTGATTGCCTTGCTGTTAATAGTGTTGGAGTGGACCTGTCCAGGCCTACCATCCCCACCAAGGCCAATCTGTGACCTGCGGGTCCTGAACCATTTCATCCAGGAAGCACGAGACGCAGAAGTTGCAATGGTGAGAGGAAAATGTTTGCAACTCATGCACTGAAACCTGATTAGATGCATGGAAAGGCTGGTGCAGTTAGTGAGATTCTGGGATAGCCCTTGTTAATGGTTTAGATAGAGTTATAACCGATTGCTCTAAATTTGATGCGTGTTATTTTTCACTAGAAGTCTTGTAGGGACGGATGTGGCCTGACAGAGTTGGTCTCTGTTCCCCAAACCACTGTTAACTTTGATGACTGGGAAAGGAAAAATGTAAGTGACCGCTGAAACTTTAAATTAAGTGCCCAATTACTCATTTATATCAACTTTAATGTGTAATGTAAATATGTAGAGATTTAATTTATTGTATGTACTCCTTTATGTCCAAATGTTACTTTTTAGGGATTTCTAGAAATCATTGGCATTGCTTGATTGTTTTTCTTTTCCTTGACCCACAACCCCAGTAAATTCCTAACGGAAGACCTGATTACTTCCTACATCCTATGATCCTTATCATTTCCTAAATCAGACCCAAATATTTTTTGCTTCTGTTTATCTTTTGGAAAGGCAACGGAGCAAGCCCAGGAAGTCCAGACTGGCTTGTGGCTTTTACATCAGGCCCTCGGCTTACTACAGGCATCGATGACGGATGTAGACCTAAACAATCACATAGACAACAGTATAAGAAACCTGCTTAGCATTAACGCTGTGCTGCGAAGCCTAAACATTCAGGTGAGTCAACACGTGTCACTAATGTCTTCCAGCTGTCAAGCCCCCGTGCATTTATAATTTACTTCAACAGTTAAGCAATATTAACAATAATATGAATTTGGAAAAACCAATAAAACCACTTAATGTGCTTCACTTGCCTAAAAAATAAGTTGTATCATTCAAAAGTAGTGGTTCGGATCATATCACATTTTAAAGTCACAGATCGGATCATTTTTTTGGATCAGCAGAAAGAAAAGATAAAGAATAAACAAATAGCTTTGCTCTCTCCCTTTATTTTGTAGAACGCTTAGTGCAACATTTTCTGCTCAATTGGCAACTTGCTATAAAAGCTGGAGTTAGAGAGATCTGATTGCTGATTAAATGTTAAAACGACTTGCTCTATTTAAACACGCTCTCCCTTCACGTCCAGCTTTCACTCATCTCACCTTTCTGATGCGCTGTTTATTTTTCTTTTGTCCTCTTTTAAAGATTTGTCCCCAACGACATTTACAGGTCCGACCACATTTGTAATATCCATGCTTTGCTGCTCTCACGTTGCTGGGGACTGAGATGGCCATTCCAAAACGTTCTGCTTGTTCCTCTGCATGAATGCCTCAGTAGATGTTGAGCAGTGTTTAGGGTCGTTGTCTTGTTGAAAGATCCAGCCCCGGTGCAGCTTCAGCTTTGTCACGGATTCCTGGACATTGGTCTCCAGAATCTGCTGATATTGAGTGGAATCCATGCGTCCCTCAACTTTAACAAGATTCTCAACCCCTGCACTGGCCACACAGCCCACAGCATGAAGGAACCACCACCATGTTCTACTGTAGGTCGCATGTGTTTTATTGGAATGCTGTGTTCTCTTTCCTCCATGCATAACGCCGCTTGTTACGCCCAAATAACTCCGTTTTAGTTTCTTCAGTCCACAGAGCCTTATTCTAGAATTAAGCTGGCTTGTTTAAATGTGCTTTAGCATACCTAAAGCAGCTCTGGTTGTGCTGTAGGCAGAGAAAATACTTTCTCTGCATCACTCTCACGTGCAGCATCTCCTTGTGTAAAGTGCACTCAATAGTTGAACGATGCAGAGTGACTCCATCTGCAGCAAGATAATGTTGTAGGTCTTTGTACTGGTCTTTGGGCTGACTCTGACTGTTCTCATCATTCTACTCTTCTGTTTATCCCAGAATTTTTTTGGTCTGCCACTTCGAGCCTTAGCTTGAACTGTGCCTGTGGTCTTCCATTTGTAGCTTAATTATTCCTAATTACCCTCTTCTAGGCTCAGCACAGTTCCTTCCAAATTGAGGGCTTCTTTGTATTCTAATCTGAAGACTCTGTCCCAGATTCTAATCCTTCTCTGCATTTCTGTAATCTGTGGCTTTTGATTTGCCTAGTTGATTTAGGTTTTTATGAGTGTTATCACTCATGCAATTCTCTATGTAAACGATGTTAGAGCCAGTGAATTCACTGATGCCAATCTGAAGAGCACCGTGTGTGGCAGTCTCTCCAATCATGCTCCAGTTAGGGGTTGCAAAGCAAGTCATGATGTACTTCAAATGAATCTGTTGGCCATCTTCGTTTGAGCTCGGCATCAACGGATGTGCTGGAAAATTGTTTTATGTTTGTCTACACCAAGTCTTGTAAACTGTGAGTTTATGATAAATGTCTGTTGTTGCATCACATGTTGCTGATGTGCACGTTAAGTCAATCTCCTTATTGTCAATCCAGCCTTTTGTTGCAGAGGCAGAGATGTTGTATTGGAGCAAAGTTCTTGTCAAAACAACACAGTCTCTTACTTTGTGTTGCCTGTGTAATTGCATTCATAAGTAATCCTCCATGGGTGTCCACCCTTTCTAATATTTAGAGGACACTTCAGGTCTCAGCAGAAGGAATGACCACAAGGGGAAAACGACTAACCCTGTCTAAACTTTAGTTTCAGGCTCTTTTTCTTTCTTGGTAAACGAGCATTACCTTAAAACAGCGTTAGTTGTGTGTCATCCTGTTGGACTTAAAATCTGGTTATTTTTCCTAACCATTATATAGATGTGCATAAGAAGTTCCAAATTACTTTCATTTCTCACTCTTTTTTAATGAGGCTATCTTGGAAAGTTGCACGTTTACCAGAGAAGATGAAATGAGTTCTCTTGCTGCTTATTTTTTAAGTGATAAAACAGTTTGATTAGGTTATATTGCTAGGAAGAATATAGATGTGGTGAGAGTTTTAGATTAAAAGCTGTGCAGGAACTTGACACTAAGCATAAAGCACCAATTTCATTGACTACAATTTTTTAATTCTTATTAAGTTTTAAAGTTTTCATTGAATCAGATTTTATTTGTGAGAGACCTGGTTTTGTTTTCTTAAAGAGCAAGTCACCCCCAAATCACATTTTTGTTGCTGATAAACTATATAAAGGAGTGTCTAATCATGCTACAGACACGTGTAGTCAATAATTTGGCAGTTCAGTGCATCTTGGTTAAAATTCAAATATTCTGCCTAAAACTGTCAGTGTTGCGCTGTCGTCAGGGAAAAATTCTGCACTGTATTTGAATTTAAATCTGCCACCGCTATTGGCTAAGAGGTATGCTATGATGTCATCTGGTATATTATGATGTCATAATGCCATTGTGAGCCTGTGTGTGTGTGTATTTGTTAGCGGCTCCGCCCTCTCGGTCTGCCAAGCAACAGCATTTGTTGCATTTTTCAAACATGAAGTGGGAGTGGAGTAAGTTTCTTGTAGGGGGTGACTTGCTCTTTAAGTATAGTGATCCTACTTTGGCTTAAATTTGAATTGAAAATAGATTTTGAATTATGGGCACTTTTACCTGTTAAAGTTGTTTTAACAAATTAAATCTTTTTTGTGGACATTTCTTTTATTAATTTGGCTTTTAAGTATTTAATTGATCTAAGCCACTGTTCTTCAGTAGGGATGTAACAATACCACTTTTTTCCAAACCGATACGATACCGATACTTGGATCTGAGTACTTGCCAATAGCGATCACAGATACTGATACTTCTACCACACAAAAATGCAATGAATACAGGTTTTATTTTCTTCTCTGCCTTCAACAGGAAAAGACTGACATAGATAAAAAGTAAAATATATGAATAGAAATGATCGCAAAACTAAAATATTAAGTGAACAGATATGACAAGTTACAGTGAAGCCACTTTCAAGCAACTGCATTGGTTACAGTTCCTGGTATAGGTTAACTTTTTTCATCCCTGTTCTTCAGCTTGAGATATTGGGGTTTGAGTATGAGATCATGTGAAGAATGTATGAAGGGTGTCAGATGCGTGTGTCTCATGCTCAGTGCGTGAGAGTTGACAGTCCAGCTCATTGAGCTCGTTGCTGAGTCTGCGCCAAGCTAACGCCGCTAATGCAGCACTGGCATTTGTAATTTGACACCGGCGGACAAAAAAACTCCAGAGGTTTATGCAGTCTAAAGCCAGTAAATCAGGGCGACCCAGAAATTATTTCTTACACCCCTAAGAAGCCATGGCATTTTTTATTTTACTCTAATATAAAGATTAAAATATAAAGCAGGCTATGGCTAACGTTCTGCTAACAATGCTAACTGTGAGTTAAAAGCAACTAGATGGTAAATGAAGAAGTAGCTTGAGATATTTTTAGAGCCAACAACTTAATATTACAGTGAAATGTTTTGTGAGGCTGCGCAGTGGCGCAGTGGTTAGGGCTGTTGCCTTGCAGCGAGAAGGTCCTGGGTTCGCTTTCCGGCCTGGGGTCTTTCTGCATGGAGTTTGCATGTTCTCCCTGTGCATACGTGGGTTCTCTCCAGGTACTACAGCTTCCTTCCACAGTCCAAAAACATGACTGTTAGGTTAATTGGTCTGTCTAAATTGTCCTTAGGTGTGTGTGTGTGCCAAGCCTCCACAATACGGCTCAAAAATTGAGGCCAACCCGGAAGTACCAAAAATTGCAGTTCCACCCTCATCCGCTGGTAAAAACCCAAACTTGCTAACACAAGATAAAGTCAAGGCCATAAATATTGGGACATCGACACAACTTTGGACCTTTTATCTGAACATTGTAATTGGGATAATGAGGGAGGATATTACAACTGGCCATGGAACAGCTGAGAAGCCAATTGTCCCATTAGTTTTTTGGTCCCTTAACAAGTAGAAGGCACATATGCAAACTGTTGTAATTCCTACACCGTTCACCTGATTTGGATGTAAATGCCGTCAAAATAAAGCTGACAGTTTAGTCTGTTTCATTTCAAATCCATTGTGTTAGTGTATAGAGCCAAAACCATTGATGTCCCAATATTTATGGACTGGACTGTATGTATTTATCCACTTATCAACTCACTGTGTGCGACCATTCTTTGCTTGTCATCTCTTGGTGCTGATCCATAGTGAGAAAGAGACATGTAGAACGACGCTTAGAAAAATAAACTGGTGTTACTAAATTTAACCACAAAATGTCATTCTTAATTCGGTATTTCATATTGCATCTTTAACCAACAAGAGACATTGTGGAACTGAGTAAGATCAATGTTCTAAAGTAGAGTTTATTCACAAATACTTTAGATTGTTGATTACCTGACGACATCACATGAAGAAAAACCAAAAATCATTACAGAAAAAAAAGAACTAGTCAATTTTAACAAGTGCTTTATTAAAGTCAAAAGAGGATATCTGTGTTTTCTTAGACAACATCATGAGATGTGTCTGAACTGTGGGCCTTTCATGATGATGCTATTGGTACTGATATGACTGTGCAAGCTTGTTCCTAGAGTGCATGTGACAATACAACCTTTGAAGTCCTTCCAGTGAAGGCTGAGCCCCAGTAGCTAGACAAACTGAATGAACTGCCTGTCTCTGGGCCCGTGTGTAATGTCAACGTGTTTCTCTGTGTGCTGTTCCAGGAATACACCCCACCGACCAGCGCAGTGGGACTGGAGGGAACGTGGAAGGTGTCCTCGGTGGCAGAAGTCCTCCAAGTTCATGTGAACTTTCTGCGAGGCAAAGTGCGCCTTCTCCTTGTGGGTGCAGAGGCTTGTCAGCAAGATGTCAGCTGATGAGCTTGTTCAGCTACTTCAGGCAAAAGCAACTTGTGTTTCCAAAGGCACGGGGATGAACTTTACACTGTTAACCTACAGGTTGAATACTGTAGGACGGTCCTCACATTTAAGGAGGAAGCTCAAAGGAAAGGAGTCTTGGAAGAGCTTTGGATGGACGGGAGGCGGCGGCACCTTGGAATGTAGATGTGTTGAAGCACATAGTGACCAAATGATGCCTCTGGAAAGCACTGCGCCAACTGCTGTTCTACTGGCACTCTGTTGCACTTTCTGTGTGGATGTGTGTGTGTGTATGTGTGTGTGTGTGAGTTGATACAGGACGTTTCAGTGAGTTTGACCTCTACACTTGTCTTTGTAGAGTGAATAGTGGAGTGAAACGCAAAGAAAATATTGATTGCACCTGGAAATTGGAAGACTGTGGTTGCAAAGAGGCAAAAGTGGGACCTCACACAACAAGCCTTTAACTCATTTCTAACTACGCCTCAGAAACTTTAGTCTTGGAATTGGTCAGTGATTATTTTATTTGTGAGTTGTAAAAAAAAACTATTTATACATATTTTTCTACTTTCAGGCTCTAGTCTATACATTAGTGATAGGCCCTCTACTGGTTTCTGTCATGTTCACGTTTTGTACCACTGAACATTTGCACATACACAAAAATACCAAGCTGCTCTTGTTATAAAGTTTGTATCTCACTCCGAGAACAGAGGCCTTCATCGCTGATTGTCACCTCAGCTGTTGTGTGAGAGCGAGAGCTCGCTGTGGAGGGTTACATGAGAACTCAGAAGCTGTTATCTATGTTTCAGTCTCTCTAACACCAACATTCATCCCGTCTCCATACGCTGATAGCCAGACTGCCTGGAAAAATTTACAATTAACATCCTGTGGAGCTGTGATTGCAAATAGCTTTCCAGAGCCTGACGCTAGCACTGTTTTTCCCTTCCTCTGTTTTTCGTCACCAAACTGAAAACAGGCAGTTCTCAGAACTTTTTAATTTAAAAGGGATGCTCTACTGTTCACAATAATTGTTTGTTTTTGTTGTCTTTCCTTGTTTTTATATTTTGCTGTTTTTAAGAAGTTTTTGAGGATGTTTATCTATTTTCTTTCCTGTTTTTTGTATTGTTTTGTCCCATCACTGCAGAATTCACTATTTAAATACAAAATATCATGTTTGGATAAAGAGAGGATGGCTGGATGGAAACACAACGGGAAGTCTGTTCATTTCATTCTTTATCTCGGAGTGGTGGAAGTAAAAAGCAAACTTCTCAGAAAGCAGACGTTCAGAACAAGTAATTAATGCATGACGCACACGCTGCACAGATGCTTTTCCCCTAAAATGTTTGAGGAACTGGTATACAAAGATGTACTGATTCAAGTAACTTTATCAAATACATAATCAAGTACATCAGCTTTGACCAAATAAACACCAGAAACCCTTCAAAGATCAGATAAATAAATACTTCTGAAGTCTTCCTGACCCACAGCTGACCGACACCGTAAACAGCTGTTGGTAAATGCTGCCATTGAAGTTTTAAATATCCATTACAACAGATAAATACTGACACCTAGTGGACATTTACAATAACCACACCCACATGATAAACTGATTTCTGTTCTCTATAATCAAGAACAATCTGGTGGAAGTAAAATTAAATAAAAGTACAGCTGTATGTGAAACATCAGATCTAAATAAAGTTTTACGTGGTGAACAACACTTAAAGCACAACAAGGATGATGACTATGAAATGTTCTGAATACTTCGTTGTGAAGACTCCAGGTGATGTTGATGGGTTGCTACACGAAGATGTCTCAGGAGACCTTTTTTTTGTTTGTGGAATTATTGGAGAACAAAAGGGAGTTTCTGTTGAATGCAACAGTCACTTAAGGTTCAGGATAAAAAACTTTAATATGAATGGCTGAGTTGTTGCGTGTACGCGTCATTGGCTCCCCAGCCTCATCAGGATCTTCAGGCTCCAGGTCATCCACCAGCTCCACCGTGGACGTGTTGGCAGCCAGCTGCAGGGCTCCTTGACTACTGGTCTGCAGCTGGAGGGCAATATTAATCGCCCTGTTGATGGCGAGCCCCAAACCGTGGATGCAGATCTCCCTGTGACCGCCGCCCTCCAGGAGCTTCTGACAGCGAGCTAACTGGGCCCTGAAATCCGTTTTCATGTTCACGTAGACATCGTTCCTCCTCTTGGGGAGTTTGCGAGGAAGACGCTTCCTCAGGGTGTACTCCACCGGATCCATCTCTACAGCTGGAGAGCTGGACTCAGCGTGTGCTGGGTTCACCTGAGGGGCGGAGGACATCCCAGGGTTTCGTGGCTCAGTCATGTTTGTCCTTGTCTGTAGAATAAAGGTCCAAATGAGAGAACTTCAGAAGTAAGCAAGGAAATAAAACAAAACATTACATCGTTTCACCTATTCACTTTAAGTAAAAATTTTAAAAAAGGGTTTTCATAAATTAGTTATGTTAGAAAACAGATAGCCCTTATTAGCAGAAATAAAACAATAGACATTTCGGATAGTGCATTTGATAGATGATTATGACGAAACCACCTACAACGCAGCTGGGACTTTCAGCTGGTAGAATATTACATAGATCATGGTTACTTCTGCATGACTTACAGAAACATTTTGTGAAAGGAAAATGGTTAATCAAAGCCGTTTGGAACATCAACAAGACTAAATTTACTAATCTTTATAGCATTTCGTGAAACAAAGTACAATAAAAACAAGGTTCAACATTCTATTTTTCTATTTGACCTTTCCACAAAAATTGTTAGATATCCAGTAATTGCTAAAACGTCTCAACAAATGTGTTAGTCATGAATATCACTCTCTGTTCATTTATTTTTATTGATGCAAACCCGAATCCAAGACTGAGAACGCTTAATATCTCATTTAGGACTAAGTATCGGTTCTGGTTAACCCGATAGAAAAACGAAATAACTAATCGAGTAAGCGTGAGTAATTTTTCTAACTTACATTTAAATTTTCATCATAAAAGGCTAACTTACCTGCAGATTACGAGTTACACTCTGAAATTAGCTTCAGCATGTCGCTGACATTTTTTCCAGAACGCTAGCAAAACAGGAAGTAGATTTGCTACACGTGTTGTGCCGACAAACGTAGCCGGAAGTAAAAAGGAACCAGTTCGCGGAATTTGCGGCAGTTTAAATCAAATCGATATTATAAACGAGTTTATGTTTACTCATCACAGTTAGGAACATGAATAAATGAATGTCAATCAATCAATCAAAGCTTTATTTATAATGTAATAGTGTTATAATGTATTTATTTTGGTGTACATGTTGGCTAAATAGTCATTGGCGTGAAGACTGAAAGGTTAACCCCATAAAATGTAATTGCGCAGAGAAAGTCACAAAGATAACTTTATATCTGTGTGTTTAAAATATTTATTTCGGTTGGTTTATTAGCGAAAACAAGTTCTACTTGTTTGGAGTTCCCCTTACGAAGGGGGTTGCCGTTTTCGGCACAACACCGGAAGTAGATTTGTAGCGTCATAAAAACACTAAGGCGGAACCATCATTTGAGCATATAGACATTGGGGAATATTGTTTTAGTTACACTAGATGGCTGCCGCATAAACACAACTAAACTTTGGATATTAAATTAATTAAAACTTTGTTTGTGGTTGATAAAAATAGTTTTTAAAAATGGCGCGCGAGGGAAAAATTGACTGGGGTATGTGTGACGTAGAGGAGATTAATATGAAGACTGAAACCTTGTTAAAGAACGTACAGACTGGACTTCCTGAGCCACTTCCTGGCCCTGTGAAACGTTCATTGATCAAAGGAGATTTTCTCTACTTCTATTATGGCTGCGATGGACAAGATGACAGAGGCTGGGGGTGTGGTTATCGAACCCTTCAGACAATGGCTTCCTGGATTTACTTTAACTGCTCTCCTCATAAGGACCATAACAAAATTGCTCCAAGCCTCCCAGAAATCCAACAAGCCTTGGTTTCAATGGGGGACAAGCCAGCCTCCTTCTCTGGATCCAAGGAGTGGATTGGAACGTTTGAAGCCTCTCTGGTTCTGGACTATCTCTATGATGTTCCCTGTAAGCTGGTGCATGTTAGAGGTGGAGGAGCAGAGCTGGAGCAGGTCGCTGTAGAAGAACTCCATCGACACTTTGAAAAGCACGGTTCTCCGGTCATGATGGGGGGAGACAGGGACAACTCCTCTAAGGGCATACTGGGGGTGTGCACTGGGACCAATGGGAGCTACCTACTGGTTGTTGACCCTCACTACTTTGGATCCAAACTGGAGAAGACAGAGCTGCAGATGAGAGGATGGGTGGCATGGAAACCAGTATCGTCTCTGGATCGGTCTTCATTTTATAACCTGTGTATGCCTCAGACGGACAGAAAGAGGACATGATAGAAATATTCTATCTGTAAACATGGTGCCCAATTCTGTTGGTTGAGTAAAACTGAATAAATGTAATGACTTTTCTTTTCAAACACTGTGTTTCTCCACAAAACGCAATATGGTAAAATAAAAAATAAAAACAAGAGAAAAACCAAAGAAAGAACCATCTGACATTCAAACAGAAGGAAGGAAGAAGCAAATGCTCACCATGGTCTCTCATTGGTCAAACATTGTGGTTAAAATGTTATTATACAACTTATTATTGTCCACAATCCAGCTAATGGAATTATGCTAAAAAATAGAATTGTCTTAAATAAAAATATTTGCATTATGTATAACTGTTGTATTTGTAGGATAACAAGTGACAGGACTGTTTGGTTATCCTGGTTTTACTAGTGCTTGCCTTCATTTGAACCTTTTTGGATTACCATGACCTGGATGACTGAGAGCCTTCACTAGCATACCCGTTCTGTGTTTAACTGTATTTTATGGATTTCTTATTTAACTTGATCTGCATTTCACCTAATAGGCCACGCCTAAATGAAAACCATTTTCCAGTCTATGTCTTTGATGAGTCTTTTATTTTTCTCTCAGTAGGAATGTTTCAGTGCATCTGGCACTGCTGAGGCTCTGCCTGATTTCACCAGATAACAAGCAAAGAGAAAGACGGCAGCACGTATCCAAAAAGGTCTGATTTATTTTCTGTTTACATCGGCGACCGAGGCGTCACAGGTAATGATTTTACTGCTGACGATTTTTTCCTGATGATTTTTTTAATTCTGAAAGGAGCTGTTGTTGCCGCTGGTTGTTATAGCGACTGGATTTTTCAGCTTGTCGTGGTTCTTTCGGTTGAAGAGTTAAAGGTCAGATTGGCCACTCCGACGCTTGCTCTGGAACGCTTTTGAACTGGCGTTAGAGCTGACGTGGCATAGTTTTATACCTCGGATGTTATGGTTTATTGCCGAATGAAAATTACCAAACACCGTCAGAAGCACGCCTCCGTCAGATCTGTAAGGTTCTGATTGGATCAGTTAAAAAAATGTGTTATGTCTCTTTAACACTACGTGAAATGAGTCCTGTTGGAATCCTTAAAGTCACAGACTTATTTTCTAAGATCATAATAAAGTAATTAATATTTTAATTTCACAGGTCGGTCACATCTTATTATTGACCAACACTTTGATGGATTAGCTTTATTAAAATAGAGTTCTTTGATTAATTAAAAGAAAAGAGTTCATTCTTCGTTCTTCTGTCTTCATCGCTGGAACGTAAACAGTTTAGAAGCAAATGCATGACCTTGAGGCTGTTTCATGCACTCTGGCACTGTGTCAAAAGGAAACAGCTGCTAGAGGGTAGAAATGACTCCTTCATCACGTTACATAATTAATGATGAGTATCATAAGATTTTACAGACGCTACACCTGGAACATGCTCAGACTGAGTTTTCCCAAAAAAAAACACTTTTTTTAAGTTATAATTTTTATTGCAATAACCTTACATTTCTTGGTCTCAACCCCTAGATTTCCACCATGTTTTATTATTAATGATGTGTCCTAGTTGTCTGGCACACAGTCATTATAGAAAAGCTGGTAGTTCATGTCCACATCCATTCTGCCTTTGAGGAACTTCTCCAAGTTCTTCAGAGGAACTTCCACCATCTGGTTGTTGATGCGATCATTGAGCCCATAAGCTCCAAACACGGGAAACTTGTAACGCACAAAGTACGGTGCATTTTGATCAAACTCTGTGCAGCAGTAAGCAGACCACATGTACTCTGGAACAGCCACACAGTCCATGTTGTTGCGGCGGATCGTGTGGCCCGAGGTCGTGACCCCAGTGATGACAAAGGCAGTAGTTGTTGAGGCGTTTGCGGATGATGTCTTGGTGTTCAGCCCAGGGACCCATGTTGAACTCTCTGATCTGAGGCACCACATTTGTCAGGCTATAGGTAGAAGCTTTGTCCAGAGGATCAGCCTGGTGCTCGTCAGGATTTCACTGGCCACGTTCGTATAGAACCACATCAGCGTAGTCTTCCAGGACCGTTTGGCTGTCCTCAAAGTTCATGTGCATGCTTGTAGATTGGGGGAAGGGCTCCATGTTGCGGCTGCTCTTCTCTGAAGCCAACTGATAGACAAAGAAACAGTTGGAACAATAAATTGGATGATGCAGTTGACGGTGTAGTCAACACGTGCTAGATTTGACTGTGGTAGTGGCTACTTTATCTCACTATACCATCCACTCCCAGTCAAAAAGCTTATCTCAAGAAGTCCTTAGCAAGACAAGGAAGTCATTATCTCTAAGCATGATTAGGTGTGTGGATACCTAGATGGTCGTTGGTATTTGTTTGCTTCATTATCTAGCTTCAGAGCCAAGAAAGTAAACAATCCTGAATGAAAAATGACTCAACTTAGACTTACCTGAGGCTCAAACATCCAGGGGAAGTCCACCTTCTTCTCTCCGTCTGACTTTTTGAACGTGTATGCAGAGTAGACAGGGATGTGTTAGTGGTGGTCATACAGTGTGGCGTATCGAGGCTTGTCCTCATACCTTTGGCAGATCTTCTTGTAGGAGCTGCTCAGGTAGCCTCTTGGTGGAGTGCCCATAAACAACGAGTCCTTGCAGCGCTCTGCATGGTTAAAGTCCCTCACTACACCTGCATGGACCACCTGCAGCAACACACAGGTCAGCACAGTTACCAGGGAAACTGCTTGGTTTGCAGATGTAGGTTTCATCGCTTATGCTTCTTTTTCTTCAGCGTCTTTTGGACTGTTCTCTTCCTGCTCCTGGAAACCCACGACTGTCTAATGGGTACCGCCTCCGTCTCGGCTCTATCACACTCAACATTTCCCTTCCTTTCTCACCTGTCCTTTGAGCTAACTGATCTCCTTTTGTGAAACCTTTTTCCAAATATTCAAATCACTACAAGTGTTCTAGCAGTAGCTTAGAAAAGTGAATGTTATCAGTCAGCGAGAGGACTTTATCATCACTGGTCTGCACAACACTGACATGTCATGTATGGCCTTTAAGGTTTTTCCTCATGGAAAATAAACATTGTTAATTAACTAATCAGTCTGCAGGGTAGAAATATGTCAGGACTACATGTTTGCAAATTAAGTGTTTATTTTTTTAAGAAGGTCTTTTTAACAAGATGCCTCATCTCAAGGGGTTTTATCCTCCAACAACACAAGTTAAATTAATAAATAAAATAAGCTGTTTTAAGGTCACTAGAGAAAAAGATGGATGGACAGTCCACATAGTTGTATTAACTTCAACAAAATATCAGAAATAATTTCTTTGGAAGGATTTACATTTATAAACTAAATTTTGCAAGTTATATTTTCTTTGAGTATTTTATTAGTTTGGTTGCTTATTTCTTTATCTTATTATATTTATTTTTGTACCGAAGAAACATTTTATAAGGTTAACTTGACTTCAGGTTTCTCCTGTAGATAATAATAATAATAATAATAATAATAATAATAATAATAATAATAATAATGGACTGGATTTATATAGCACTATTCTAGGCACTCAAAGTGCTTTCCATTATTCCATTTTTTTAATAAGTAAAAAAATTATTTTAAATAATTTTCAAATAAGTAAAATAAAGTCAGACTGGTGAAGGCCTTTACTACTGAGTCTAATATATGCTATTGCACATTTAAACATTTTTCAGTTTGAATGACAAAAATATACCACTAATGTTAAAAAAAAGTATTTTTCTGTTAAATTTTTTCCATGTGCTTCTAATTCTTGAATAGCATCAGTTTGGAGAAACAGAGATTTGTTCTGATAGACAGTCGAGCTAATGGCTAATGGGGCTAGTTACAAACTATTTCTTCTGTCCTAACCACACCTGCTGGCTTGCTACTGGTGGCTGTTTAGTGGGGTCTGGGTCCATAGGCTTTGTTGGGTCTCCGCCGGGGTTGGGTGCCCTTGGGTCTCGGGTCGTTGAGTTCCGAGCTTGGCCTACCATGGAGTGGGCAGCTGCGGGCAGACCTGGGGACTTGCCGTTATTATCTCCTGGGCCTCTGGCACACCTGCTAATTGACCCCCCCAGGGTGATCCTTCGCGCTTCTTGGGAGGGAGGTTGGGGCTTCTCTGGCGGCAGTCTCCCTGGAGTGTCAGCGCTCCGGGTAAGACCTCTGGATCTCTGGGGCTTGGAACTGCTCCATATTCTGTGGATCTTTAGGGGCAGATCTGTGGCCCCTCACACTCACAATTGGACACTCCAATAGAGAAACCTTACATACACAAGTGCTTGTACGCACACAGGTACTCACATGGTGCTCTCACAAGTATGGACTTGGGCATTTTGGACACATAGCTTAGGGCTGTGGTTGGCACTAAATGCACTAAGAATTATTGCTGTGTGATTTTTCAGCTAAAATTGTTCTTGTTATATATCCTCGTGCTGTTGGCGCAGTGACATTTTGGATGTGTTGTATTTTTGTGTGTCCCCCTTTTTACTTTTTTTCTTCTTTTTCTGCAGGTCTATAAACAGATTCTTGTACATCTTTTATTTTTTTATTTTTGTGAACTTTCCCCTACCTCTTCCATTCCCCCCTTCCCTTTCAATTCTGTCTCTGTGTCGGTTGGGATTTAAAGCAGCCAAAAATATTTCTAATAAAGTTTTTGTATCAGGCCAGGCATTAAAGATGAAGCTCGACTGCTCCACCTGTGACAGCAAACCCGGATAACTCTGTATGATTTTTGGCCGTCCCACAGGATTGTTCATGTCACACTGTGAGAACTCCAGAAAGGTGTCGCGCTGTACAAAAAAAGATTCCAGTAAGGCAGACTGCACCACGTCTCGCTTCTGCAGGACACGCAACGTCATGAGCGCACCTCCTGAAAGCATACGTCAGCAGACCGCTAACCAAAACAAAGCTGGAAAGATAAAAAACGTATTTCTTCCTCAAAGAGGAAGCTTCGTTTTTAAAACCCTCGCTTTGGCGTCAGACTCCGGCTGCAGGTCCCCTTTTCCTGTCTTCCAGCTACACAGCTTGTTTTATATCTTTCTATTTCATAACCATGACATCTGAAATTTATGTTAAGATCAAAAAATTGCATAAACGGCTATGAAATAATTTTGTAACAGGCCCCACTGTGATTAGTTGTTAGCTTGTATGTCCAAGATGAGTTATTCTCCGAAGAAATGCGAAGGCTGTTTGTTTTCTTATCTCTTCATTTACTCAAGGCATTTACAAACAATTGAATGTGAAACTTGAATGATGATAATATTGTCGGACATTTGTTTCCATTGTTTATAGTCCAAACCTACATGTATAGGTCTCATGAGCTAGTTACAGAAGAGTGTTAGCTTTGACTTGCTGAATGAGATAAAATAGATCGTTGCTCCCTTTCATTTAAACTTGTTCTTTATTATTACTGGATGATGGGGGCATGCAGTCCCCCGCAAAGATCTGAAAACTCTGGTTCACAAATGCAGTCTTCTTCAGGAACTCCTTCAGCTTCTGGACAGAGAGCTCCACCACCTCGTTGCTCTCGTCCTCGTTGAGGCTGTAATGAGCAAAAGATGGAAACTTATAACGTTCAGTATAAGGTGTGTTGTGGTCGTAGTGGATGCAGCAATAGGCCGACCACAGGTAGGTGGGAACTGCGATGCGGTTCATGTTGTCCCTGCGGATCATATTCCCTGAGTTGGTGATACCCGTCACGATGTAAGCCTTTCCTCTGCAGTAGTTGTTGAGCCGTTTGCGGACGACGTGCTCCTGTTTGTTCCAGATTCTGTTGTAGACATCAGGCACCATAGGCACAACATTCGTGAGCGTGTAGGTGGAGGCCTTGTCGTCTGGTTCGTCCTGGTGCTCGTCTGGGTTGAGGGTGCCGCGCTCGTACTGGACGGCGTTAGTGTAGTCGTCCAGTGTAGCTTGGGCATCTTTGAAATTCATGTGCATGTAGCCACTAGGGAAGGGCTGCATTTCGTGCGTGCCAGAAGAGGTGGACAGCTACGCCAAAACATAGACCCAAGTGAGTAAATAAATGATCAGAAAGTAAAAAGGACACACACAGTTCCTTTTACCTGTGGCTCATACATCCAGGGGACGTCCACACATTTCTCCCCATCTGAGCGTTTGAAGGTGTAGGCAGAGTAGATGGGTATGTGATCCACAGTGTTGTACAACGTCATGTAGCGTGGTCTCTTGTTGTAAAACTGACAAATGAACTTGACAGAGTGGTGTTCCAGACCTGTCGGGGGTGTTTCCATGTAGAGGAACTCTCTGCACTCTGGAGAAAGCTCTTTTTCCACTCTGCCTCTCACTGGTGACGGCAGTAAAAGGATTCCCACCAAGATGCACATCTGGAACCAGAATGCCATCATCAAGAAGGATCTCTGGTGTGGAGCCGATGGATGTCAGGTGGAAGGTAACAGCAGGAATGTTTCTCAGGATGTCGTGTGGAGCTCAGACAGCTAACTCAGGTGTAATGTGTTCCTCTTTGTAATCTAGGATCAGTATGCAAACCAACGGCCACACCATGCTGTCGCAGATCCACCCACAGGAAGTCAGAGCACCCAGACACAAATGTGTCTCTTACTGGAGAGAAAAACGCCCAACCAGGTAGTCAGGCAGCCCTCAAATACACAACCTAAGCCTTTCCATTGGCCTCATGTAACATACTGCAGAATCACACATTCTACTATAATTACAAAAATTTCAGTAACACATATAGATAATGTACTATCAATCAATCCAGGTAGTAAAATCTACTTTGAGATGTACTTTCACTGTACTTTTATCTCCACTATTGTTTAAGGCTTTAAAGCCTGACACATGAATTGTAGTCATGAGTTTTTACAGGAAACTGTTTAATAGACACCTTTGCTGCGTTTGTTCTGTGTTGTTTTTCAGACTCCATTATTTGGTTCTTTTCTGCACACAGTGTAATAAAGATTTGTTTTAACCTTTTAAGGTTGTCCTGGGTCCACGTCTCCTTATTTCTATCACTTCCTTAATCCATCAATGAACAGGGAGGAATGAGTGTACACACTGGGCCGTTCATGGGACAGGTTCATCTGTGAGGAGGGCGCGTGCAGCAGAGGGCGACATCGTCCTCTGCTGCACGCAGATAAACGGAGGTGAGTAACATCGGTGTTGCTCTGAGGAAGGCTACAGAGTTAGCATAAACTTGTCAACAAAAAAGGTAAAAACAAATATATGATGTGTGCAGAAAAGAATCAAATAATGGATTTTAATAGATAATTGTTTTAAAATAGCATTTTATTACAGTATGATTTCATATAAACATAAGTAAGGTTGTGGTGAATTGGTGTCTTCCCTAACCCTAATACCATTCTCAATCTGTTGGGATTATTTATTTATTAGGAAATTATTTCTGTATGTTTGCCTAAAGTATCAGTGGGGAGTAGTGACCAGATCCTAGCAGCCAGACACCCACTCGTATAAATATTTTTCTGCTTAAAACATGACTGATGGCTGACTACGGCCCGTCCTTGTCCGGATCACTTGTTGAGATAAAACTGGGATTTGAATCAGCTGAACAACCAGTTATGAAGCAACTCTTGATGATGGTTGTTCACAAGTCATTATTGGAAGTTACTGCCAGTTTAGACCATTTGGCCTGTCTTTTGTGTGTGTGTGTGTGTGTGTGTGTGTGTGTGTGTGTGTGTGTGTGTGTGTGTGTGTGTGTGTGTGTGTGTGTGTGTGTAGATTCTGGTGTTACAAATACTCTTAGAAAATATTTCACAACAATCGTAGAATCCTCTGAAATCCTTCTCGTTTTAAATTTGTTTATTAAAACTTGTGTTTTTACTTAAAAAAAAGCTGAACTCTAGTCCACTTCCATGCTCTTATGAGATAATGGTGACCAATAAAAATAAATCAAGTACAACTTTAACATTTTAAAGGAACATTGTGTAGAAATGACACCCTGTGGTAAAATGTGGTTACTGCAGCCACTTAAAGCAACTCTGGAGCTTTTTGCTGACCGTCGTCAAATTACAATAGTGGCGCTGCAATATTATACCTGGAACACACCAGACGCGGACGCGCAACGATGCACCGCAAAGCATCGTGGAACAACAAGCGCTTCTAATCGGCGCCCTTGTTAAACTACGCTCTTGGTCACATCAGCTGCAAAGCGCCACAAAGGCTTGCGACATGCAGAGCTTGTTACGGCGTGAGCTCTAATTTTTTCGCAAGCCGTGAGTAAGCCAAGTCAATTCTGGCCGGAAGTCAAACCAAAACAGAAGAGGCAGGCCGGTAAATTTAACAAAATAAAGAAATATTTCAAAATAAAACAAAGTCTGGAAAACGGTGTGAGCAGAACCGCTCATAGGAAATTCTCGGCTGATGTGAACAGAGTAATGGGCAGCGCGCAAATTTCGTGAGCGATCCGCTTCGTGGCGCTTCGCAGCTGGTGTGTTCCGGGCATTAGCTTGGTAGAGACATGGCAACCCCGCACTCACTGATGGTAGTAGCAGTAGTTACGTCCCTCCTTCTTTTGTTTTGAAAGGAGAAAAACTGACAACCCAGCAGCCAACTGGATATGAAACATGTTTCAGTATAACCTTCCTTCCTAAATGACTGAAACATTAGACTCTTGTGGATTTTTTTCACTGTAAAATTCTCACTAACACACTGCACCTTTAATTGCGAAGAAAAGATCAATTTATTTCACGCTCTTGTTTTATCTTTGGGATATGATTATGTGATTGTTTCAAAGAGAGAGAACACACCGACCATGTATTTTTATATTTCATATTTAGATACAAGCGATTACTGCCTTCTTAAATTACAAGTTTACCGTTTACCGAACACATTTCCAGGCAGGCTGAAGTCTTGTTGTTGTTCTGTTGTGTGATATGCTCCAGACACGATTTTCCATGATTTTATCAAACATTTAACAGTTTAAGTTGCAAGTTTCAAACAAAATCAGTTATCAGATGTCATTGAATTTAATGTGAAGATGCAAAATTGACTTAAGACTGTAACAGTTAACGTTTGAGAGATATAACATCTCAGCAGGTGCTTCTTCTGTTACTCCACCTGCAGGTCTCTCCTCGTTTACTCTAAGGGGTTCTCCGACACACAGCCTTTATAAAAAACAGCCAGGTCTCTGTATATGTCTGCCTGGCTCCTCAGGAAGCTCTCCATAGTCTTTAGAGGGACCTCCATCACACTGTTGCCCGTCTGTTCATTCAGGGCGTAGCCTCCATAGCTGGGGAACATAAACCTCACCTCTTATGGTGAGTTACGATCATACAGCGGGCAGCAGTACGCCAGCCATAAGTGTTTGGGTATCACGAGGCGGTCCCTGTTATCACGGTTGATAGCTGCCCCTGAAAAAGTTACCCCGGTCACGATGAATGATTTACTGTGGCAGAAGTTGTTCAGACGTTGGCGGATGAGGTTTAAATATGGGTTCCAGGAGGAGTCCAGGAAGTCTGTGACGAGTGGAACGGTGTTGGTCAACGTGTAGGTGGAGGACTTGTCTTCTGGGTCTGCTTGGTGCTGATCTGGAGTCAGAGGACCTCGCCTGTAGTCTACGGCATCGATGTAGTCATCCAACACAGTCTGGCTGTCCTCAATCAGAGGGGGGGTGTCGTTGCTTAGAGGAAGGACCTTCATGTTACCGCCGTCATCATCAGACACCAGCTGTGGGAAAAGAAAGGAAATAAATCCCTTTATTCAACAGGGTTTAATGCTAAAGCTAGTTAGCTTAGCTTTAATGCTCAGGCACAAGTTATACTTTATCCAGCATGTTTTTCTCCTTATGTCTGGTTTGAAAAGAATGACTTATAAAAAGTCATTAATTGTACTCTCTTATTGAAGGTTAAATGAAATTTTTTTGTACTGGAGTCACCAAACATATTCATTGGTGTCCTGACAGGTCTGTGATCTCTTATTGTAGAGAACCTACAACAGAATGTCAAAACCCATTCAGTAGTCCAGCAGAATGCAATTGCAACATAAATGTTCTGTTATTCATTGGCCATCTGTATGTAAGCCTTACTAATTGAAACAACATAATAAGACATAACTGTTCTGCAGTGAATTAAAATGATAAATGTATGTACATGAAAATACATTTCCCCCTCTATTTTATCAAATTGTTTCATATGTTTAGCTTAAAATTAATCAACTTTTTTTTTAATAGAAAAGGTCAATGCAGCATCCACCTCACCTCTGAAAAATTAAAACTGCCTAAATATGACTGTTTCTTTTTTGGAGGGATAAATTATTTTATCTTCCTTAAAATTACTTTAAAAAATTACTTTCCTTTTTTATTGAATTTATTCTATAAAATAAATTAAGATAATTTATTCTTTTTTGTAAATAAAAATCCCATTGTTGGATTTTTGCTATAGTTGGCAGACCTGCACTGAAAACCATGGCTACCCAACTCTGCTGTACTTTAACGTTAGCAAAGGGGGAAACAGTCTTCTTCTCTTTTTAGTTATTTAAATGCACAATTAAAATCTTAGTTATACCAGTGTTAAACACAATGGTTGTGGGAAGTAAAAGTGCCCAGCTCGCTACAGTGCTACAGACTCAGTTTTTAATTGACTGTGGTTTAACAGGAAGGGGAATTGTCGTCCTCTGGTGATGACCATTTATAACTACACTTTGGTTCTAGTAAACCCTTTAGCCTCTTTATCTCACTAAGGCTGATAACAAACATTCGTATGAAGGTGGAGTGGGAGGACAAGAGGGATTTATACTTATGACAATAAAATATTTATCTAATAAAAACAATTCCTGTAAGTTCTTTCAAAATAAAAAAAAAATTGGAATTTTGGATTTGGCAACTGGGAACTCGTATTTTTAAGTATTTTTTATTTCTTCTTTTTTGCTGAAACACAATAAACTGTATTTATGTAGCAGTGTTGAGATTGTGCTCAACACTTCTCAAAGTGCTAAACCCAGGTAGCTACTGCGCTACAAACTCGGTGTTTTTATTGACTTAATTTTGAATTTAGAGGGGAACTGGCGCCCTCCAAAGGCGAGAAAACCTGAACTACACTTTTGGTAACCCGTAGTACAGAACATTTTTGCTTCCATGTCTCAGCAAAGCTGGAAAAAATATTTTTCCCCCTCTGGAAAACAATAATATGAAGAGGAAAGAGAATAAAGAAGGCAACATTGTAAAGTGACGAGTTACTAAGTAGACACATTTCCTGTAAATCTTTTCAAAAATAAAACACTGAGACATTTTGACTTTAGCAACAGGGAAACCCGTTCTAACCATCTTTTCTCTAATTATTTAGCTAAAATCACAAATGAAGTGCATTAATGTAAGAGTCAAAGTGCTAAATCTAGCACGCAACAGCCTACAAACTCAAAAGGTTTGATGGCGTTTATTATAAACATAGAGGGTATTTGTCGTCCTCTAGTGGCGACATGTTAGAACTAAACTATGAGCCAGTTGATCACATTTTAGCTTCCTAATCTCAGTAAAACGGGGAAACCAGTTGGCTTTTTCCAAACTCATGATTTGTCCCCTGCAATTTTTACCGTCTAAAAACAATATTACGCAATTTTAGATAGACACTGGCTGAGCACGAGGACCAAGCGGAAAACAACTTCTTGTGTTGAAGCTGTTTCCCATTTGAACCGTCATCTCATCTATTGGCTCTGCTGATACTTGCTAACGTGTGATTGGCCGTTCCTGCATTCTGTGTATTTGACCATATGACGCTTCTGCATTCCTGACATTTCATAAAAGAACCTCTAGGCTGTAGTTTTATACACATTTTTGTATAATTACTGCAAAGATACAGTGGTTTAGCTTTAGGAACATATTGAGCCTAATTGTTTAATTTAATTGTTTAAAAATCCAGGCTAATAATTTGATTTTTTTAAACATGAGCTGCTGAATTTCAGGTCACACCTTTGTCTGATCTTTACTTCTAAATAAATTGAACTCAAATTACCTCAATATAAAAAATGGGAGCCTTTTGTTATAAATGGCATTTGGACTTCATTACATTCTGCAAAATACATAAACAAAAAAATATATATATACACACACACACACACACACACACACACACACACACACACACACACACACACACACACACACATATATATATATATATATATATATATATATATATATATATATATATATATATTCATACATCCAGGGTGTGTCTGCCCTCCTCTTCCCATTGGACTTCTTAAAAATGTACGCTGAGTAGAGAGGCAGGTGGTGGCTGCTGTCGTACAACGTGGCGTAGCGGAGTTTGTCTACATACTTCTGGCATATATGCTTCGGGTTTGACCCCTTGATACCTGTAGGAGGTGTTTGCATGTAGAAAAACTGGCTGCAGTCTCTGAAGCTGTTAGACACTGTGGCCCTCACCAGGTAGAACACCATCAGCAGGAAGAAGGAGAGGGTGCAAAACATATGCATCCTTAAAGCTGGAGCTACTGAAGAACTAGAAGACTGTCCATTGGAAAATGTAGGTCATATATGAATAAAAAATAACTCAATTACACAATAAAGGTTTTTCTATACAGCTTATCCTGTATGTGTGTTTCTCTCCATCTAGTGAAACGCAGCTGCAGTCAGACACAGACAGTATAAGCAGCAGAGGAGCAGAGTGGATCTATTGGCTGGTTACTGAACTTATCTGATCCAACAGTTTGTGCAGCCACACGTCTCCTAGATTGGTTATAGTAATGGAAAAACTTCTAAAACCTTAATATATCTCCCAGTGGTTGCTAGGGTTTGCATAAGGGCTCTACTGTGGGTCACAGAATAGGAGGTTTTACATTTAAGATAATATCCTGAAAAGAGAGTTTCTTGATGCATATTTTTCACCAAAATTGATGTAAAATCTAAAGAAATTGCATAATTAGGGTTAGGATATTAGGGCTGTAAACATTCACAAAAAGTAAAAATGCTTGAGATTTATGTTTTATTTTTAAAAATTAAATCTCTAACATTTAATTTTGGGGATCAAAGGCTAAATCATCTGGGCAACACAGGACATGTTAGGTATTTCCAGTGATGTGGATAAAAACTGTTCATAATGTTTATATACTTCAATTTCAGTATTTGTTCTTATTACTTGTGGACTTCACTGACATAATTTTTTTTCTTAAATAAGTTTTTAAAAATCACCTTTTTTTGACTGTATAGCATGATATTAAAAATGCAAACGATTGGATCCTGCACAAGGTTCGAGCTGCACAAGGGTCTTATAATAGTCAAAATTTTCTTTTTCACATTCACTTTTAGAAAATAAAAGTCACAACATTTTACAATAAATTAGGGTTGAATGCATTATGCATTTACTTCATTTTAAACCATTACTTTTTGCATTTTAATTATTTTACTGTCAAACTGCGCTCTCTTGTGTACAAAGAGTGGATCACACTGCACATGCACAGTTCGGTGAGCTGTAAAACTTGCAGAAACCTCATAAATTATTAAAATATTATATTGTTTATTACAGTCGTGACGCTTCTTGGTAAAATAGTTTGTTATTACAAAAATACATTTGTTAATTATGTTTATTCAAGTGTTCCAAAACTGTCTCAGGAGCGTGTTTATTATAAAGCAACGCGGCCCCACTTTATTGCACGCGCTCATTAAACTGGCTAATTAAGCCACGTCGAGCTAAAACGGAACAGGAGGGTCCTCGCTGGTAAAAATAGGGGTGTGTTTGCTCTGCTCCTGCATTGGTTGCCCGCTTGGCAATGCGCGGTCACGTGGTATCACAAGGACGGCCATGTTTCCGAAACACAAACAACAAGAAGAGAAGGAGCGACTCGGAGCAGCAGACACACATTGATACGCAGCAGCGACCGTTGGAGGAGGAGAGTGAGCGCGAGAGGAAACCTAATAACCACACCGCAGATTTTCCTGAAAGTACTATTCTGTCGAATGAATACGTTTACAGTGTTTAAAGAGACCAATGCATACCATATATTGGCTGTAGGCACGCCGTGCGGACATAAACACAAGGTAAGCGAGCAAGGGTTCCTCTTTGCAGCTGGCTAGCGTACGAGCTAACATGCTAATCTCGGCTCGTTTAGCTCGATTCGTCCACGGTGAAAAAAAAAACAACGGTTAATTAACCGTTTTACAACTAAAAACTACACCAATTTATGGATTTACTCGTGTTGTTCCAACTGCATTAAACTAAAGTATTTCATAGTGAGGACAGCCGCGGTGGTGGTAGTCCGCTCAACGGTGGAGCAGGCCGGGGAGTCTCCTTCCCAACCATCCGCCCCCTCCGCCATCATATCTGGTGTCACTTGAACCATCACGCCAAGGCCTTAGCGATCCAGCGCATACCTGAGTGCTAGTTTAGGTGGTAAACCGTGTCTGTTGAGCAACTGAATCATGTTTACAGACGCCTCTAACAGTTAGCTGTACGCCTACTACGGAGAAATCTGCTGCTATTAGCTTATAACAGCAACAGTAGCGCAAATGTAGCTTGTTAGCTTCCACTTAAGCTTTTCAGTGTTTTTCAGTTTTAGGTTGTTCTCGGTGAAAGCTGCTTGTAGCCGAGGTTCATTTAAAGAATATAAAGGGTTTTAGCACATAACATGTGCAGTGTGTTCACTCTGCTTGATGACCTTGCTTTAGCTTTATTGTTAAACTTTTTATCTCTGATATGAGTTGACCTCATTGTGGTGAATGGGTTTTATGGTTGTGTGTTTAAAATTTGGTTTGCAGCTTTAAAAGCTGGATTTTATTGTAATGTTTCTGCTTTAAATCATGATAATTTGTTATTTAATTTGCTACCGTTAAGCACTTAGCAAATACCAATTTTCACAAGTGGACAATTATTTTTTTATGTGTCTGGTATTAATGGGGTTTGATTCATTTTAAGCTTGTTTTACTATCATGTTCTTTATCATATTTTGTACTCTGTATTGGGTCTTTTGACCTTTCCCACACATTTATTACAAATAACATCACATCCAAAGTTGTTACATGAGGACACCTCACAGATTTGGTTGCAGAAAGCTGGTGTGGATCTCCTTCAAATTTAAGTCACTCTGGTCACGTAAATATTAACCAGCTTTTAAATCCGTATTTGGTTATTTAAACTATTTTTAGAGGATTTCTTTCATATATATATAAGCAATATTTAAAACTTAATTTTGTATTTTTACTGAATAAATAATAAATAAATCACAAAAAATTGCTACTTCCACGTAACGAGGGAATTATTTTTGTTTGGAAAAGTCCCAAAGAAGACAGTTTGTCTTTATTAACACTATTAAACACTAGGAATAATATAAGGGTAGAACAAGTTCTGAATCTTTTTGTATTAGTCTCGTAGGATTTAAAGCTTCTTTCCGGAGTATTTCTCTTATCCGATGGCACCATCTAGTGGCTGACAAGCACATCACACAAAAACTCTGTTCCTCTTTGTTTTTTTTAAAGATGGCGGCTTCATGTTTCTGTTTATAAATGTGCTTCTGTAGCCGACAAGCAGAGCTAAACACGTTGTTTTACGAGTATCATTCTCATGTCATGTTGTGTTCTCATACATTTATATTTTAGAGACGTAATTGTCCGTGAAAAGTTCATGAACTCAAAAAATTTAAAGGACGTATTGCTTACATTATATCACAGTACATGATAAGACAATCACTTTCACGGATTTCTGACAAATCATACATAATTTCTGAAAGGGGGAAAACTCCGGAAAGCAGCTTTAAGGTCAGAATTAGCTGGAAATTATGATTTGAAATGGTTGAATGAAGCCGCAGGGGTGGACATTAACTTCAAAACCAACCGGCCAGCCGGGCCGGTAACTCTGAATATTTACCGGCCCTGCCAAGAATCTACCGGCCCCACTGGTCAGCCGCCAAAACGAGTCAAAATAACAACTGAACCGTTTTAAATGTAACAAACCTTTATTTTGTACACATTCACAAATAGGGCTGCAACAAACGATTATTTGGATAATCGATTAATCGGATGGGGTCTCGACACGATTAATCGATTAATCGGATTACATGGGGAAATTTTTAAAAACTGCTTAGGGAAACGTTATTTCTCTCCTTCCTTCACTTTATTTAACACAACATTATTAGAAAACAGTTCAATAGCAGAAAAACAACATGCCATCACCTAAATTGTCTTATAAGGTGTATAGACAGAGACCCTAAGCTACATCTATCTGTGACCTAAAATGCTTGGTCCAAGTTAAACAGCTTAAGGGCAATTCTCATCTGTTTTGTTTGATCTCATCTGTTGACATATATTTTAAATGTAATTAAACATAGGCTGTGAATTAATCAAAATTGATCACTATTTCCAAAAATGACTGAAAAAATACCAAATAAAACAAAAGTAAATGAATGCCATCCTACTTGTGATGATGCCCTGGGCAACTGCCATAAAGTCACATCAAGAAATGCTGCTGATCATTCCAATGATCCCAAATAGACTCACATTAGGCCACATGAAAGCAACTGAACCCAAAAATATATTAACCAGTATATAACTGCACTCTCACACAACACACCTGCAGCAACAGTTAGGACTCCTCCCTCCCTTTTAAAAGCGTTTTTGCTTCTGAGGACATTGTGGTTGTAAAACCACATGCTAGTAGTCTGGCCCCGGTGTGATCAACCAGTTTCTGCGGGAATGTGACGGCGGAACCAGGGCCAGATTAACACTTTGTTGTACCCTGGGCAACAATATTCAAGGGCTCCATCATCACGACCCGAGGATCACCATAATGTGGTCACATACAGAATATTTTACTGTAATATGCAGTAAATATACTCAATACTTGAATGCCTGACAACACGTAACCCGCCCAGAGTAACCTTTGACCCACCTCGTGTGGACTGACCAATGAGGAGAGGGTCTTAACTTGAGGCCCTCTCTTCATTGGTCATTCTGCATGAGACTGACTCTCAACTGACGTTCAGTCGTAGGCAGCGAAGCGTCTCTGTGCAGCGCAAAAGCCCAGGTGGACAGTTTGTTTAATGTAGGGTGACCATATTTCCATTTCCAAACAAGAGGACAGGGGATCTGTGCCTATGACGTCACACTATGGCAACGCCACACAAACCATGTTGGGACCCATTTTTTGTAAGAACTAAATTAATATCAGATTCTGCCAATTAAAGGGCTCTAAAACAATTCATATATAAATATTTAGCATATTTAATGCAAAATCAAATTTTTCTGCTTTAGTTCTGCAACAAGGTTTTATTAATAATAAATTATTATACCTTTTGTTTTACTACAGCATTGGTATGCTTCCTGTGCAGATTATTAAGGATGCTTGTTTCAGCTGTGAGATTAGACGATAGGATCAATGAAAAAATAACTAGTCACACACTCCATGGAAACTTTCAGAGAATCCACAAATAGTGGCTTTCAAATGGTTTTGTTACTTTTTGCAAGTTTATAAAAGAAGCAGATGAGACAGCATGTCTGATAATTTAGTTTTTCATCTGATAATATTAGAACATGTCAGTAATGTCTGAGGGGCTTTTATAAACACCGTATAACTAACACTACTGGAGAGGGCATGAATTACACAGAGGCTTCTGGGGAGCCCAGTTATTGGGGGGGGGGGGGGGGGGTCATTTTGCCTTGGCCCCCAAAATGTCTTGAAACGGCCCTGGGTGTGTGACTGAGTTTTGAAGGTGATCTGAATTGTATCAGATGTATAAATATGACATGTGTAGAACTTATTGTTTTTTACTGGTAAAAACGTGTCGTGGAGATAAATCTACCTACATTTTACTTTTCAACACTTTGTTTTCAGCGCTTTGTTTCACTTTCAGCGCTTTGGGCTTCCTGACAGGGTTGCGGAAGGCGCTTTATAAATAAAGCTTTGATTGATTGATTGATTGATTGGTTGATTTTTTGTTTTTATTGAACTATTTTCCTGTCCTGTCTGTCTCTCATCTTCCTGCATCTCCTCTTAATTCTCCAGAAAATCTGTTGCCTGGATTCTTACCTTTTCACCTCATCAGTTACTTTTGAGCAGATCAAAGGGATCTCCTGACCGAAAAGCGCAGAGCGCGTTTTCGATGCTGCGTGAGGTGACATCACCACAGCACAGGTGATGAGCTCCGCAGTAGCGAGCTTCAGGCACAAATAAGACAGAAAATAGAGAAGATGTGCAGACAAGAACGATCGTGTGCTAATTATAGTTTTTTGGTTGCGCCACTTTGAGAATGGACCGTGCGCTGGAAGCAGCTGCCTGGATCGCTGTGCAACAATGCGGAACCGGTTCGCAGCAGCGCAAGTCTGCCGGCTCTCCCTCGCGCTGATCTGCCGCTACCGGCTGATCTGCGGCTCTCCCTTGCGCTGATCTGCCGGCTCTCCCTCGCGCTGATCTGCGGCTCTCCCTCGCGCTGATCTGCGGCTCTCCCTCGCGCTGATCTGCCGGCTCTCACTCGCGCTGATCTGCGGCTCTCCCTCGCGCTGATCTGCGGCTCTCCCTCGTGCTGATCTGCGGCTCTCCCTCGTGCTGATCTGACTTGCTCTGGTCTGCGCGCAACGGCGGGCGGGATTCGGGAAGGGGGGGGGGGGGGGGCGCTTTTGGAAGAGTTGTGCGACACAACGAATCGATGACGCAATTCGTTGCCAACGCTTTTAGTAATCGATTTTCATCGAATTTATCGATTCGTTGTTGCAGCCCTATTCACAAACATAATAACGTATTCAAGTTTGAATTTGTTTGTTCCCTCAACAAAACACGATTTTGTCGTCGCATACTTCTGGCATACAACGCAGTACATCACCAATGCCGCTTTGCTGTATTCAAGCCATTGACTGTGTTCGAGATGAGCCAGTTCTGCGCAGATTAGACCAGCAGTGATCGGCGAGCGGTGCATGCCGGTTAGATTTGTGTCCGAATTGACCTGACTTGCTCTGACGTCATGCATACGTAGGCATCGATAACCTCGTGAGATCAAGGCGGCCGCAGATTTTGGAGCAAGGCGCTGCAGTTGCTCTCTACCGGCTGCAAAACC